TCATAATTTTTGGTATAGTAGTTGTGACTCATTCACACTATATACATTTGACTTCCGCAACATCCTCCACCAGCTTTGTCTAGGACATAGTTTAAATTTGTGACATGCGCCTAATTAATTGACACATCTATGTGTAATGTGTTGTGTCCTTACCAATGAACCAAAGCCCTGAGAGATGATTTTTATGATGCTGTTAGCAGCAAAATTATAAAATTTCTCCGGATCTTATGTCCATCAATTGTTCTTGTGTGGGTGTCCATGCGCACATAAAATATTTAATGAAAATCCATTGCAAACTAAACGTTAGAGTGTGTACAGATTTGCAGATGATGTGGTGGAAGCATCAGATGGGAGTCTATACTTCAGTGTCGCAAGCACCAAATTTGGATTCCACGAATGGTACCTTGACGTGCTTGAAGCCAAGCCCCATGGTCAACTTCTCAAATATAATCCTTCATTGAACAAGACCTCTGTAATTCTTCATAACTTGGCCTTTGCAAATGGCGTTGCTCTCTCTGCAGAACAAGATTACTTAATTGTCTGTGAAACGTGGAAGTAAGTATTCTCGAATTATTGAATGATATTCTACAATATTGGAGATTATTGAGTAAATATCTTTTGCTGAAACTGTTGACATATTTCTTCATATTAACTAACACGGTTTCTTCATGATAATCAGATTTAGGTGCCTAAAGTATTGGCTGAAGGAGGAAATCAAAGGACAAACAGAGATCTTCGTCGATAATCTTACTGCTGCACCCGACAACATCAAGCTTGCTCCAGATGGTTCGTTCTGGATAGCTCTAGTAGAGGTAAGTTATAAACACCTTGCAGTAGCAGAGAAGGTTCATCTGCTGTGCCAATTTAACGACTCATCTGTTACAGTTTACAGCTCGTGGACTAAATTTTGTACACTCGTCAAGAGCTTCAAAACATTTGCTGGCAACTTTCCCCAAATTGATAAACTGGGTCATTGGAGCATACCACAAAGCTATGGTAGTGAATGTGGCAGCTGATGGGAAGATAATCAAAGGCTTTGATGATCCAACTGGAAAGGTCATGTCATTTGTGACATCTGTGCTGGAGTATGAAGGTCATCTATATTTGGGAAGTCTCAACTGTGACTTCATAGGAAAGTTACCACTGACAACCTCAACTGTGTAGCCATTGCTAACTTGCTCACATTATGGTCTATAAATTCTACGTCTTGATTCCTAGAATGTATGCTAAGCAAATTTGAGAAATATAATATCATCATAGCTATAGGACAACCACCACAGGTACCAAGAATTTAACGAGATGTTCAAGACCAGCTACTGTTGATAATAACGCAATAATGACACCTTGTTAAGGAACCAAATTAAAGTTTAAGGAGGAAAAGTGAAAGTGCAGCTTCCTTTTGTCCCCTTGTAAACATACACACAGGACCAAGCTGCTTGATATAAGACCAATTAATAATTCCTGGCAGTTGCATTCGAACAATTTCTGAAACTAATATGACACCAAGAAAAGTTACAATGGAACATAATTTGTAACTCGTATGAGCTTACACTGAGGGATTCCATACACTCTAACGCCAGTTGTAACAACCGGATCCTCAGACGGTATTCAATAGCAATCAGTCGCGTTCACTCATGGCAGTTAAGTGCTCATCAATTTCTTCAGTAACGGATCTTCACTCCTCACAACACCAACCTGCCAAAGACAAGAAGAAATAATGTATACAAGCAGTGAACCAGTTCAGTTACAATCCTGCGAAACCACTAAAATTCACTTAACACTACCCAAGGCAAATCAATTCTGTGATACAGGTCTCATATCTATATTTTGCAACCACTCGCTCTACTGAGAAAATAGTACATTATTGACCCATCTCCCTTCTATAAACAATGGAAGTATGCAAATATCTAAAGGGTCATTATACCTCAAAGGAGAGTAACGCTTCCTAAAGCCAATCGAGCAAGAGAAAGATTCATTCTGAAGAAAAAGCAAGGAGATGGAGGCAAAAAGCAATCATCCCTCTCTTTCACTCATTTTCATTTTTTCCTCTTACGTGGTGATCATTATGGGCAAGAACTTCAATAAGACTCAAATCGTAAATAATGTGGAGGAGCAGTTAAATACCTCGATCTCGCTGGCTTTGAAATCCTCTTGGAGAACAGATTGAAGAGCAGATATTGCAGTCTATTAAACAAAGAGGTGATTTTGAAGGCTAAGTGCAAAAACCTGGAACTCAGGGTTAGTGAGACTGTAAGTGAAAATACTTTATTGAAAAACCAGGTTCATGCACTTGACTCAACGGTTCTAGAACTTAGATCTCAAAATCTAAAACTGAAATTAGGAACAAGTAAAAAGACAGCTGATCACAAACAACTCACTCTAGAAGAAAATGTAGGAAAAATAAAATATGAGTTGTATAAAAGGGATGAGCAGGTGAGAATCCTAAAGGAGAATCTAAGCAAGGTCAAGCATGAGCTAGACAGAACATGTAAATGGAACAGCTCCTCCGATGTACTTTCATGGCTACAGGAACACCATAGTAACAACAGAAGAGGACTTGGCTTTAGGAATCTGGCACCTAAATGGGATCCCAAAAGCAAGTACCTCACACTTCCTGAGAACAAGATTTGCACACACAGTGGTAAAACAGGTCACTATAAAAGTGAATGCATTGCAAAAGAAAAGGCAAGTCAAAAGAACAAAGAATTTGTTCAAGGGAAGAATAGGCTACCAAGTTGGGCTAAAATGAATTTGATTCATCATTTTTGCCTATAGAAAGGGACCCAAACTAGTTTGGGTTCCTAAGACTAACCCGTGATTTCCTTTTGCAGGTCCAAGTGAAGGGGAGCAGTCAAATATGGTATATGGATAGTGGCTGCTCAAAGCACATGACAGGAAACAAGAACGAGTTCCTTTCACTTGAGGACCTTAAAGGAGGTAATGTCTCCTTTAGAAATGGGAAGAAAGCTGAGATCATTGGAGTTGGAAAGGTAGGTAAGACTGATTCTCACTCTATTGAGAGTGTCTACTTGATAGATGGACTTAAGTACAGTCTAATAAGTATATCACAATTGTGTGATAGAGGTAATATGGTAGCATTCACCTCTACCAAATGCTTTGTGATTAATCTTACCACATACAAGATTGTTTTGCAGGGAAAAAAAGTGAACAATATATATGTTGTAGATCTGTCCACCCTTTCAGAAAATGAACTCACTTGTTTAAGTGTGTTGGATAATGATCCCCTCCTTTGGTACAAGAGACTTGGACATGCTAGTCTAAGTTAACTCAATAAACTAGTCTCCAAGGACTTAGTGATAGTACTGCCTAACATTAAGTTCAAGGAAGATAAAGTTTGTGAAGCTTGTGCAAGGGAGAAGCAGGTAAGATCCTCTTTTAAAAGCAAGAAAGTGGTAAGCACCACCAGGACGATGGAACTGGTCCATATGGATCTTTGTGGACCAATAAGAACATTAAGCAGAGGTGGTAAGAGATATGTGATGGTGCTTGTTGATGATTACTCTAGGTTTACTTGGACATTTTTTTAACATCTAAAGATGAAGCATTTGACATGTTCATTTCTTTTGTTAGAAAAACTCAGAAACAACTAGGTAATCAACTTGCATCAATTAGGTCTGATCATGGTACTGAATTTGAAAATGCTAAATTTGCCGAATTTTGTGATGAGTCTGGTATAGATCATAATTTTTCTGCTCATAGGACTCCATAACAAAATTGAGTAGTTGAAAGAAAGAATATGACACTTGAAGATATGGCTAGGACTATGCTTCTTTCTAGTAAACTGCCTCATAGTTTCTGGGCAGAAGCTGTGAACATTGCATGTTACATCATAAATAGGTGCATGACTAGAACTCTTGTAAAGAAGACTCCCTATGAGTTACTTAAAGGGAGAAAGCCAAACATATCCCATCTTAGAGCATTTGGATGCAAATGTTTTGTGCACAATAATGGTAAAGACTCCCTAGGTAAGTTTGATCCCAGAAGTGATGAGGGAGTATTTTTGGGATATTCTTCACATAGTAAAGCTTATAAGATTTATAACAAAAGAACTATATGTTTAGAAGAAAGTGTACATGTGGTTTTTGATGAAACTAACATTCTTTCTGAGAGACAGGAATATAATGATGAAGTAATTGGGCTGGTGAGAAACTCAAATGAAACCACAGCCTATACTGAAGTTGCACTAGAAGTAGGAACTGGTGATCGAATAGGTTCTTCCACCCAGGGCAACTTGACAAGGGGAACTGAACAAAGGGGAAGTGATCCTAAAACCTCAAGGGAACCTGTTCATAAACATGTTCCTCTGCAACAAAACATTGAAGGAACATCTAGGGGAAACCAGTTGGTTTTGAAACCTTACAAGTATCAAAGTTCTAATCCCATTGAGAACATAATTACTGATCCAACCTCTAGAATCAAAACCAGATTTTTGTTGAAGAATTTTTGTGCGTTTGATGCTTTTCTATCTCTTATTGAACCTTAAAATGTTACTGAAGCTTTGCAGGATACAGATTGGGTGAATGCAATGCAAGATGAACTCAACCAATTTGAGAGAAGTCAAGTTTGGCATCTGGTACAAAGACCCAAGGACAGATCAGTAATTGGCTCAAAATGGGTCTTCAGAAACAAACTTGATGAAGATGGAACAATTACAAGGAACAAGGCAAGATTAGTAGTTCAAGGATATAGTCAAGAGGAGGGCATAGACTATGATGAGACTTTTGCTCCAGTTACAAGATTGGAGGCAATTAAACTCCTCATAGCCTTTGCTGCTTATATGAAATTCACTCTCCATCAGGTGGATGTCAAAAGTGCCTTCCTCAATAGCTATCTAAATGAAGAAGTGTTTATCAAGCAACCTCTGGGCATTGAAATAAAGGAATGTCCTGATCATGTGTACAATCTTGACAAGGCACTTTATGGGCTCAAGCAGGCTCCAAGAGCATGGTATGAAAGATTATCAAAATTCTTGATTGAGCATGGCTACAAGAGAGGTAAAATTGATAATGCTTTATTCTTGAAAGAAAAAGGTAAAGATCTCCTGGTAGTTCAGATATATGTTGATGATATAATCTTTGGAGCAACTACTGATAAGTTAAGTAAATAATTTGCTAAACTAATGGGGAGTGAATTTGAAATGAGTATGATGGGTGAGCTTAATTTTTTTTAGGCTTACAAATTAAACAAAATTCAAATGGAACTATGATCCATTAGCAGAAGTATGTAAAAGAGTTGCTTAAAAGGTTTAAATTGGAAGATTTCAAAGAAATTGACACTCCTATTGCAACATCCACAAAATTGGATGTAGATAAACCTGGTTCATCTGTTGATCAGAAGTTGTATAGGGGAATGATTGGCTCTTTGTTGTATCTCACTGCTAGTAGACCTGACATTGTTTTTAGTGTAGGCCTTTATACTAGATTTCAGGAAAATCCAAAGGAGTCTCACTTGACTGCTGTCAAAAGGATATTGAGATACCTAAAAGGCACGATTGGCCTTTGTCTATGGTATCCAAAAGGTAGTTGTAACGACCCGACTTGTCATTTTGAGCATTTATATCTCGTTTAACAATTTGAAGTCTTAAGCAGCTTCGTAATGTGCATTATGATTTGTGTGAATTGTCGGCTTTGGTTTATGATTCGGGATAAAATTAAAACAACAATCCTTGTTTAGAAGCTTAAATGAAAAGAGTTGACCGAAGTTTGACTCTTTTGTAAACGACTATGGAATGGAGTTTTGATGATTCCAATAGCTCCGTATGGTGATTTTGGACTTAGGAGCATATCCGAAAAATTATTTGGAGGCCCGTAGCTAAATTAGGCTTGAAATTACTAAAATAGAAATTTAAGTTTGGAAGTTTGACTGTGGCATTGACTTTTTGATATCGGGGTTGAAATACAATTCTAGAAATTGGAATAGATATGTTATGTCATTTATGACTTGTGTGCAAAATTTGAGGTCGATCGGACTTGATTTGATAGGTTTCGGCATCGAATGTAGAAGTTGGAATTTCTTAGTTTCATTAGGATTGAATTGGGGTAAAATTTATGTTTTATCGTTGTTTGATGTGATTTGAGGCCTTGACTATGTTCATATGATGTTTTAGGACTTGTTGGTATATTTGGTTAGGGTCCCGGGGGCCTCGGGTGTGTTTCGGATATGTTTCGGGTGTTATCGGATAATTTTGGGCTACTTTGGTTGCTGGTTTTCTGATGTCTGGTATTATTTTTCGTGTTCGCGAGGAGCCACTCGCGTTCGCGAAGAAGGATTTTGCTTCTTGGACTTTACTCTTCGCGTTAGCGAAGAGACTCTCGCGTTAGTGAAGAAGGAATTTCTATTGTCCGTTGTCAGACTTTGGAAGCTTATATCTCACA